TAGTAAATAATTATGCTTATTCTTTTAACTGATAAAATAATGTGGACTTTAGAAGATGAAACTACTACTGAGATAAACAATAGATAAATAAATAAATAAATTAATTAATAAATAAAAACATTTTTTCTGCACATCATACCTACGTTTAAAACGATATTTTAATAACATGATTTTAATCGCCGTCAAACGTGTATTTGTTACCGCGTGTAGTTAAAAAATAAATTAATCTACTTACATAGTAAATAATTATGCTTATTCTTTTCACTAATAAAATAATGTGGATTTCTGAAGATAAAACTACTACTTATAGAATGAATTAATTACATTGTACGGGGTTGAAACAACCGTAAATGTATTTCCGTGCCAAAGCAATTCTGAGTAGAATAACGGATTTTAATTCACAATTATCTGTTGACATTGACTGTTATCGTACTGCGTAAAAATTCTCGTTTTATTTAAATTCTACTGCAAAATATTCTATATTTATGTGCCTTTTTATTCTTTTATGACGATTATTTTAGCTAACTTCTTCATGTATCTGTAGACATTTCCCGGCCGTGATTATGTTGGAAAGAGGCATTCAAATTATTTGTAATACATGAACTCAATAAGTAATGTGTTGTCATAATTTTTTTTTGAACAGAGAAATGTACGAGAGAGAGAGAGAGAGAGAGAGAGATAACCCCTTCGATTCTCAGATATATGTTTTATCAAATAAAAATTCTTATTATTTTTCCTAAATATTCCAGGCAATAAAGGTAATCTTTTTTTTTAGATTAACAAATCCATTTCACAGTAATCATTGGCTTTTATTTTCCATCATCAAGTTCACACAGTTCACAGGAAGTCCGTGCTACATTTTGTAGTAGCGTGCTTGTGCTTGTCAATCAAAATAGTTCGACACAGTGGAGGTGTGGAAATCGCGTTTCATCTAACATGCCCAAGGCAAAGAGTCACTTAGTATTCCAATTAATTTTAATAATTTTTCCTATCATTTCTAGATCTGATTTTTGCATTCCTGCAGGAAAAAAAATACCCTTGCAGAATATTCCTGAGATGTCCTAAGAAATCCTAAGACAATCTTAGGATTTATTCCTCGGATATCTTGAAAAATTCCTAGGATTATTCCTAAGATATCCTGAGATGTTTTTGGAACAGGAATTCCTGGGATTTCCTTGGACAGTCCCAATTCAGGGGTTCTAGAAAAATCCCAGGAATCAAAACACCAAGACTTCCCAGGATATCCCAGGAAAATCCCAACACTTAAAATGTCCTAGGAAATCAGGAATTCCTAGGATTTCCTAGGATATCCTAGCCTCCTAGGACATTTCTTTTTTTAAAAAATCATACATAGCAACACAGCAGAATTAAAAGATCTCTGAAAAAAATTTAATGAATGTATGCATTATAAAAATTCATGGCCACACAGAAATCAAAGTACTGAAAGTACTGTTAGACGGAGGCTTCATGTATGAGAGAACACAAAAGAAATATATATGTCATACATTGCTGTAAAGAATATTATGAGAAATAATGTGTAGGTTTTTTTTTCAATTCAACATTTTTTTCAAAAGATACTCCAATATTCATGAGGTTTTTGGGATATTATAATTTCATCTTTGTAATGTAAACTTCGGCTTGATTAAAGTTCACTGTTATTTAGATGAGATACTTTCAATATTAAACCTTTCAAAGTAAGAAACAGTAATTGACTAGGCCTGGTTGACATAAAACTTAGACGGGCTAACTTTTTATCCCAGTCTCACTTAAGGAATATATAGTGGAAAAGTGAGACTGAGATCAAAAGTGAGCTTGTCTAAGTTGTATGCCCCCAGGCCCGGTTTGATGAATGTAGGTTTAATATGTTCTAGTCATGAGCCCACTGGCGGAATTAAAAGGGGCCCCTGGCCCCCTCCCTTTTGAGTCCAAAAAATACGCAATATTTGATAAATGAGTGTTTTAATTGTGGCTGTGGGCCCCTTCCCTGACCTCAAACTGGTCCCCCTATTTCAGAATTTCTGGATTCAGCACTAGGCCTCAGCCTGTCAGCAGTCTCCATATTTCAAGATATCTTATTTATAGGTCACAGAGACCTACTGTTAACATAATTATGACATGTAACAGCTACCAAAATCAAAATTTGTCGGCCTTATTGTTATAATGTTATGATATGAGCTAACATGGAAAAAGAAGCAGCCAGGTAATTGGACATGAACAACATAATATAGTACAGTTTGTCTTAAACCTTTGTGATACAAAATGGGGTGACCTAGCTTGAAAGCAACACAGAATTTTCTTTAAGTAATACAACTTCATTAACATGCAATAAATGTTCGTGCCAGAACACAATTTTTTGAGTGGAATAAAATATACTTTCTTACTTTATGTAAACAGAACAATCAAGTTCCTAAGACTTGCTATTTCACAAGTTTAAATTGTTTTTGGAGAACTGGAGTATTGCTTACAATAACAAAGATATATCTTGACAAATTTGACAACCAATATTTCTGGAATTATTAAATGTAGTATTTTATCATATGACAGATTAACCCAAAAAATGTCTTTCTTTACTCGTATACCAGTGGAAATGGTTGTCCTTTTCAGTTTATCTGTTTAAAACAATCATTAACAATGAGACATGATTACAAATTACGTAGAGAAAAGTTATACATTTATAACTATGATTTCTGCTTTTCAGTTAAAACAATCACTTTACCAATGATGTAGGTTAAAAAAATTGACATGAATACCAATGATCAGAAATACATGTAATCTTGTATATAAAAAATAATTAAAGTTTGGGATGTGAAAGAGGTAAAACACAAGTATCAAATGCAAATAAGGATCAACGATATGTCAATAAGACAACTTATTTCAGAAGATATGACTTTTATTTATTAATTAGGATATTATGTGATAAATCAAGTAAATCCTATGAACCAAGATTTGGGTTGTACCCAAGGGTCAAACGTTACAAATGCATTTTGATCTCAATATCAGAGTTGCCGTTTGTTTCTCTCTTATCTAATGTGAGGGTACCCCAAACACTCAAACCGCTTGTAGAAAGTGTAAATCTATTTTCATGTGTTTCCTGAAATTATACATAATATCAAATAAACAATTCAAAACTAGACTGTTAATATTCCTACATATAAAAATACTATGCATTTGTTTATTCATCGATCCTTGTCAGATTAAAAAACTCCATGAAACCTATTGATGCAAGCGTCAAAAATCGGCCGCAAACCAATTTATCGGTCCTTTCAAAAAGAAATTAGAAAAGGAATGAAAATGAGATTACAAACAACAATCAAGCACAAAAAATTCCATTAAAACTGAAATGCTTGATCTATTATTAAAATATCTTATATTTATACCTGCGACATAAAACATTTGCATGCGACATAGCAGGATTTTCTTCAATACATAATACAGGTACATCTGCGTCTCCACACTTAGTTTGATACACAGGCGAATTCTGGTGGAAGTTTTTACAATTAAATATAAAACTAAAGTTTATAAACTTATCTGTAACTAGAGATAGTTTTTACTTTAATAAAAGAAGCAATTGATAAGTGGGGTTCCTCGATCACTCTCCGCGGATGTTAACCCCCCCCCCAACTCTCTCTAGATCCGCCACTTCATTTCTTCTCGTTCTTGTTTTGGTGTGAGAACCGGCGGGAAAAGGCTCGGCATATTGTAAAACATGCTTTATCATCGTCTGTTGGAACAAAATCTCCTAATATTCTGTCTGATAAAAAATTAATAGTAAATCACTTTTTTTTTTTACATATTCCGTAGGAAATGTATTTATATACACGTCATTTTAAAAAATATTAGACAAATCCTGTTTATTTAGAAAAAGTAGAACTGTTTGTTTATACTTGTATGTGACGCGATCTTTGTTTTAGACTATGCCTATCCTTGCGGTCGGTTTAACGCAGAGTCGCTCTAAAAATAGAATTCTCAAGGTAATGAAAACAATTCCACCGATAGATGGTGCTTGGGAAATCTTTCCTGTTTACATTCCATAGGCAAGACAATCCCTATACACGGAGGCTGTCATACAGCCTCCGTCTAAAAATAATACATTAAATAATTTTTTAAAAATGCTGATGGTATCTGATACAACAAATTCTTTACAATTTTACTGCTGTAACATTATAGTGCAGTTATGATTCAACATCATGATTCACACACAATGGGGGAAAAAGATTGTCTTATTTTCAAACTATGTTAATACATTCTGAAGCAGCTCTCATAGAATATTTATGATATACATGTACAATGACAAATATTAATAATAAAAAAAATATTTAAATCAACAACCTAGTGTAGAGAGTAGGGGTGAGGTCCTCAGGGTTTGTCACTTCTGAAGAATTCTGTACAATAAAAGATTCAGATACCAAACAGAACTAATTCATAACACCCCCCCCCTCCCATAAAAAAAACAAAAACAGTATGCACCTGGTGGCAACAAAGTTTGAAAAAAAACCAAAAACATATAGGTCAAAGTCACAAGGTCATTAACCTTGATGTAATTTGAAAGAACTTAATTAGTGGAGTATGGATACTCAATATAAAATCTCTACCTCTTATGGTTCAAAATTAAAAGATTCAACAAGGCTATATTTTAGCATAACGATGACATTCAAGGTCATTGGTCTTGGTCTCATTTGAAAGGGGAGTAAGCATACCCAATATGAAGTATCTATATCTCTCATGATTCAAAAGTTATGGCAAAAGGTAAATTAGCAATAGACAGATAAACAGACAGGCAAAAACAATATGTGCCCCCGAAAGAGGCCTTGACCTCTGACCATTTCACTTCAAAATATATAAGGGTAATATGTAATTTATAAACAATATTAAATTTGTATTGATGATTAATCATGGTCTGCAGTGGGATCGTCAAAATGAGTTATAATATAAAATGTCATTGCAATATCTGGATATTTTGGAAATGTTAAGAGAACGAAGTGTTACAGACAGACAGATTGACAAACAGAAAGATAAACAGACCCAAATTACTATCCCCCCTGCACCTCGTCAATCCAATATAAGTCGCCCAGCTTTAGTTGATCACTGATGTATCTTCTTTAGCTGTACATTTTTCTTCTTCATCGCCAGTGGCCTAGTTGCAGATCGTGAAGCCTTGTTTGCTTTTTCTTCACTCGACTTTTCACTTGTCTTTGCTAAAATAAAATTTTACTTAATGTATTCCATTGTTTAGTCTAAATATGTAATTATTTCTAAGGGATGAAAATCAAACTTGTAAAATTTTGTAGCCAAAGATGCTACATGTACCAAGCTTTCAGATTCTACCAGTCCATAAAAATATGTGTTTTCCCAAGTAAGATGAACCATTTTTCTCAAAAGATATATTTTATTCACACTTGCATAAGGAATAAGGTATGTTAATCAATTGCATACATGACGTGATTAACAAATGATGTCATAATAATCTTACTGAATAGCCTTTTTGTAGAAAATAAAATTTTAATTCGCAATAGTTAACCGCTTTACCACAGCTGTCGTATGAAGTCAATTTACTTGGCATTAAAATACTGTGAATTAAACTCTCCGTGTGAACAGAACATTAAAATCATACATTAACATTATTTGAACAGCTTACCTTTCTCGGCAATATTCTCCTTGTTGTAATTTGCTTCTTTTCCCTTAGTCCGAGTTAAACAGTCTGCAAAGTTATCAATAAAATTTTTTATAAGACGTGTATATATTTGTTCTTTTGTAATCTAGCTGAAATTAATTTTAATGATGGCTGTCATTGATATTTCTTGCTGATTTTTTCATTTTTCTGTTCTAAATTTAGCGAATATTACCTTATGAGTTCTACGACATCTGCGTCAGTTTTTCCAACTTAATATTAGTTACAGAGATTGAAATGTACCATAAAGTTTCATAGACGACTTTCACATTTACAAAAGTTATTCCCTTTTGCGGGGTCAATCCAGGGTCAACCGGCGTAAGACACTGTTTCCCCTCTATTACCTTACCAACTTTATGGGTCAGTATCTCAGAAATATAGTATGTGCAGGGGTCGACACTAACTTTTAAACCATAGTTGTCAGCAGGGCTAGCCATTTCTAATTTCTACTAGCCCTGTTCATGTATTAGTTGTCCAGCAGCCGAAGGCTGGTGGCCGAGTCGCGAAGCAATGAGGGGGGTAGGTGCGGGAGGGGGTTTCCCCCTCCTGCTGGTGGGGGTACGGGGGGCCTCCCCCTGGAAATTTTGAAAATAGAGATGCCAAATCCTGCATTCTGGCTGTATTTTGGGTAAAAATTATATGTCACCCTATGATTGTACCTTAGACATTTTTCTATTCGAAGAAGTACACATATATTATCATTTAGGATATTTCGAATCACCTTTAAATTTTACAATTTTGACATACAAAAATAATAATTATGATGATAAAACATGTTTGAAAATAGATTTCATAATTTTTAGATACATTATGTGTAATTGATAATTATATTTGTTGCTCTGAGTGAGTACTTAGTAAAATTCTTAGTAGCCCTGCAGGGCAAGTTTAAAGGCATGTTTGGTAGCCCGACCTCAATATTCAGTTGTCCCGGGCCAGCGGGCTACCGTTAGTGTCGAACCCTGATGTGTGAATTTATTCATTACGTTTTTAAAGTTGCCCCATATTCTGGCAATACAGTTACAGATCGATATTGTTAGATATAAATGTCTGAAAATAAAAATATTTCCAGTTAACTTACAAAGGACAAAGTGGGAAAAATGAGTGTTACGCCGACAACCGGAGACAACTCTTAGGAATGTGAAATCTGTCTATTCTTTCAAGTTTACAAAAGAAAATTTAAAAAAAGATTACAAGATACCTGAAACTTTCTCTTCATTTGGTAGTCTCAATGGGAGTTTCCAGTCTCATAATCCTTGCCAGGCTTCAAGGTTCTAGCTAGAAGATAATGCAATGAAGGCTTTATTTAAGAGTATAATTCCAAAATTTACACCATGTCAAAACATTCAATGCAAATTTAACAGTAACTGATAATAAATATTTGTTTATAAGTCTTCTGCTTACTAAATTTTAACATGTAAAACCTGGAAATATTTCACTGTGTATGTACGTTTGATCTTCATGGACTAGACTGAATCACAGTATGCCCAAAAACCTTTTACACATACATTCAAATCATATCTTACAAGGAACCACTCGCCACTTACCCCACTGGCCTGTGGCCATGATATCTACACTTCTTCCAACATTCCCTTTACTGCACTCCTAGCGAAACCAAGATTTTTGGGAAAGAGAACATGGTTTATGTGAAGAATTAGAGTCAATCTTGGGCGTAAGTTGTGCATTTCATTACATTTCACCAGTCTCTCTAAACATTGCCGCTCCTTGAACTCCTATTTTGCGCTTCTCGATGAAGTCTCGCGAGAGGATGATACAGGACGGTGTAAAGTTATTTCGTGCCACACCCAGAAAATGCGGTTTGTTAATTCTTGAAAATAATTTGTGATTAATGTGAATTTACGTTTTTTTTTTTTTACAAAAAGAAAATATATTTTTTAGCGAATATTTTCTGACAAATTAATATTCAAAGCTGAGTTGACAGTAAATATATTTTATACACCGGGTACTAATTGATCGAAGATCACTTTTTTGTACCACCTCTCGGAAGTTCGCGCTGCAGACACGGTGTAGGGGTATTTTGTACACCTTTAAGAAATATCCCGACATTTTCCCGACAATCTTGTTAAAAAAAACACGTAAGTTATTATCAGTGACAAACGACCCGCATATTAGAAAAATAAAATATAATTATCCTTGATCAACCAATTCTACTAACAGAAAGTGTTACAGAAGAAAATATTTTCGAAGAACCACGATGATACATTTAGGCCAAGAACAATTTGCATGGAAACCGTCCAAACACAAATATGGCGGATCGTGAAGTTGTCACGTTGTGCTGTAAACAACGACTTTTCTTCGTATCTACAAGCCTGTCACGATGTCTGTAAGTATCTTATTGCTAAGTGATGAATGAAAATTAGTATATCTGGCGATAAAACCTATAGGGAAAGCGCATTTTTATCGTATTTAATAGTTATGTTACGACTCGAATTTGGTCAAAACCTTTGAAAAGTTTTTTTTTATCTCTGTTTCTGTGGATACAATTTTCAGGAAACTCTATTAGTTTTACTGCGTATTTTAAATTTTCCTCGTTAAATAAAAGCAATACTCAATATCAAAAACATGAGAAATTATATTCTCAAACTCAATACAACACGATTCTAACCCAACAAAATTTGAAATACCAAGCTTTTTAAGTCAGAAAGTGACGAAAGTATGATGTCACAGACCAAGTCATGCTTCTTCATTATGCTGTTTATGTAGTATTTAAATTTGTGTAGTGTACTCTTCTTTCAATGACTCAGTATTTACTTTTCTTTTGTATAGTATCTCTGGCAGTTATGGGTGAATATACAGCAAAATCATACAGATTTGGATGAAGATGTTAAAGATAGTAAAGTCAACGACAGTTTGATGAACCAAATGACACTGATAAAGAAGAAGATACAAAAAAAGATACTTCTAGCCAGGCATGTGACTTTGAAGCTGATAGTTTGGTAACCACCTGAGAGATATATAACCTGTATGCAGGTGATGACGGTATAGGAGAGCCATTTCTTATAACGTGCTCTGAGGAATATATGTTTTATTTTGTCGAAATGAAATGCGAAGTGAAAAATTAAATTGACAGATGAAGAAAATTTACCACTCCATCCTTCTGCATGTATGGTCTTCTGAATTCAAAGCCATTTGAAAACCAACTTTAAGTTAAGAGGAACACTTTATTTTCAGTGAAACATTCTGGAAAATATTACTTCTACATAGAAAGAAAAAGTTGTATTAATACTTGATGTTGTATTGCAAGATGGCCAAGTTTGTATGACCAGTGCTTTCGAGAAAAAAAACTATGCTTGCACTCAGTTTCCCATGAACGAAGCAATCTAAAGATTAAGTGTAGAATTTAATTCTAATGGATAAAAATCAACTCAGAAATGTGTGATTTGAAAATGGTGAAATATTGTTTGTCTGTAAACAATTTTTTCTTTAAAACATATTACATGTATAACTCCTCCCTAACAACATCAATATTACAGAAAGTATTTAATTTAAAAAATAGTTCTAGGGTCAGTGTCTTTCTATGTATCAAGTATAATATGTAATGATTGAAAATTATTCATTTTATGATTTTCCTGATATTATACATTAAAACTTTAAAAGTAATAAAATTTCCTGTCATTCTGTTTTAACATTTATTAACATGCTTAAGTTTGTAAAGTTTAATTTGTCTTTTTTACAAAAGTCCCGACATTAAGTCAAAAGTCTTAGGAAATGGGATTATCATAAAAATGATTAACTCCTGGCTTTACAATGAAATGTCCTGGCAAGATTTGGATTTGAAATGTTTAACAAAGAAGTCCTGGGAGATCCTAGGATGTCCTGAAATCAAATCCCAGGAATGTTACTCCTAGGATTTCCTCAAATCAGATTGTGAGGAAATCTTAGGAATTCTTAGGACATCTTAGGAATTCCTGAGAAGCATTTTCAAGTCAGGAATAATTTCTGCAAGGGTAATTCGAATATATACTTGGAAGGAATAAGTTTTAAATTGAATGTGAAACATATTCCCTGCCAATTTAAAATACTACTGTCGGCATAAGTTTATACTAATATACTATTGTTTAATGACTGTTTGATGTTGGATTTAAGACTGAATTTCATGTGTTACAATAAAAATTAAATATTAATTGAAATATACTGAAAAAACTCAATAAGAATTTTATTTCGGGAGAAATGGCACCGGGGGGGGGGGGGGGATCTTAATTATACTGAATGGCAAAAAACATATTTTTAAACATATGTTTAGGTACGGTGAAGGAAGGAATTTTCCTTCTCTAATATTATAGACTATTTTAAACAGTTGGTCTTTTGTAAAATTTAAAACCACACCATCAATTTAATTATCTCTAAAGATATTTAATTAACTGAATATTTGCAGTGCTGTTCATAACTCTCAAACCTACATGTAGTTTAAATGCGTGTTACTGTAGCAATTTTTTTTTATGTATTCTTGTCCTGTAAAAGACTTGGATTAATTATTATACATCCATTAATAATTTGTCCTCTTTAAAATTACATCAAATTAATGCCGTGCATGAAGCATTTGTACAGGATTGCCCTTTTTTGAAGTTAATATTTTAGCATCGTTCTACATACATGTAGGTACATTTACTTAACTTATTAATTATTTTCCAGGGAAAATTTATAAAATAAGTAACAGCTGAGTTATAATAATAGAAATATAAATATCATAGATAATTTTTGCAATGAAATAATTATTCTTCAAACACAATATCTAAGTTATTTAATTAAAAACATGTAAATCCTTACCATCAAAAAGATAAGTCCTTTCACTTCGGAGTTCCGAATGACAATGAAGACTGAACGATAAGTGAACGGTGAATGCAATTTGAACGCAAAGTAAACAGAACGAAGAGCGAACGGTGAACGTTTTGTGAACGGTGAACGCGAGTGCACGGTGAATGCAATACTGTGGACGAAGAGCGAACGGTGAACGCACGCTGAACAAACGGTGAACGAATGGTGAGCGAACGGAAAAATGGGAAAGTAGAACGTTTCAGGGACTGTATCATCTCAAAAGCGGTTGAGAGTAAGAACTATAATTTTGCACGTAACTTTAAAATGGCAACTATGGGGTTGACTTCCTGCCTTGAACAGGATCACATAAGCCGGCAATTGCTCTTTGAGCAATAAGCCTGGCTAAAAAAGCAGTACAAGTTAAGTTGAGAAGAAAATAAATAAATAATCATGCACAGACTTCTTATGCTATTGAAGTCGCCTGTGTGGCACAGTGGTTAGTGCGTGTGCTCTAGAGGCGTGAAGTTAGAAGTCAATCCTTACATCGTGGGTTCGAATCCCACTGTGTGACGGGAGACCAGTCTTCGAATGAGACCGTACAAAGCTAGGTCCAGTGTCATAGTAGGTGCTGGAATAAAAAAGACCCTTCCCTGCTCAATGGCCCTGTCTAAAGTGCCGAGTATAGGACAAATTTTGCAGCTCTCGATCACCGTCAAGTGGTGGCGTCTCCATATGAGTGAAAAATTCTCGAGAGGAACGTTAAACAATATACAATTAATCAATCTTACACTTTTGCCTTGTAGGGTGTGGGTTTGTTTCTACTTCTATTTGAAATGTTCCTGATCCTTAATTTGAAAATAATCTTTCAAATTAAGGATCAAGAACATTTCAAATAGGAACATTTCAAATATTTGTCAATTAGATTATCTTAATTTATATTCCAAAACTTAAAGTTAAGAGAGTATGTGTATGATAACAAGTACTGTTTTCATACCCCCCCATGCAAATGAAGTTTAAGGGGGGAATATTGGAATCGCCATGTCTGTCTGTCCGTCTGTCTATAGACAAGATTTTGTCCGGACTTAATTACTCAGAAACTATTAGTCCGGGAAGGATTTGAATGAAAATTTGTACACATATTATCCACCTTATGAAGATGTGTACCTGATATTTTCATCTTGATTGGATAATTATTTTGAATCTTACAGTTGTTTTTTAGCTCACCTGAGCCAAAGGCTCAAGTGAGCTTTTCTGATCAAAATTTGTCTGTCTGTTGTTGTTGTTGTTGTGGTCGTTGTAAATTTTTCACATTTTAATCTTCTCAAGAACCACGGGACCAATATCAACCAAACTTGCTACAAAGTATCCTTGGGTGAAGTGGATTCAAGTTTGTTCAAATGAAAGGCCATGCCCTCTTCCAAGGGGAGATAATTATGAATTAGTGAAAAATTAATGGCATTTTTAAAAAATCTTCTTCTCAAGAACTACTGGGCCAGGAAAGATGAAACTCATGTGGTCAATCATCCTCAGGTAGTGTAGATTCATTTACAGTGGACCTTCAGATATCCGGACGCCAGATATCCGGATGCTTCAGTATCCGGACGATTTTTCATCGGAACGAAATTTTAAAATGTTATTCTGTCTTGTTTAACTGGTGATTCAGATATCCGGATGCTTCACATATCCGGACAAATTGACTGGGAACCAAAGCGTCCGGATAAATGAGGGTCCACTGTAGTTTGTTCAAATCATGACCCTTGGGCTAAGGTGGGGCCACAATGGCCAATCAAAGTTTTACATTAGGAATATATAGGAAAAAGGAAAAATCTTTAAAAATCTTCTTCTCAAGAACCATTGGGACAGGAAAGATGAAATTCTTTAAAAAATGTTCTTCTTAAGTACTGCGAAGCCATGATTGAACTTCGAGAGATCGTCTGTCAGAGTCATCTGTATAATTTTGCTCTGCAAGGTTTGTTGGTATTGTGTGTATATTAAATTATGAATATTTCTTTAGGATGATTAAAGGCATGAAAGAAATATTCAAATTATTAGTGAGCAGGAAGTCATAAATGAACTTTGAGAATTACATGCAAACTTCATTGCAAAAATAAGACTTGAAATGAGAAAAAAAAATTGGCGGTTATAATTTACCAAATAGGTAATTAATTCTTTTACTTGACATAAATACTGTAACACCAGAAACACTTCTAGATGCTCTATAGTGCCATATTATTTTAAAATTTAAGGAAAATCTTAACTTTGAGGATGATGTACTGATGAAGTTTTACTTTTATGTAGATGGAGCCTCGACGATCTACGAGGATTCGACGACGTCCTGCCTGGCACGCCGACTACGTGATGGACTTCCCGGTAAGTATAAAAAACAAAAAGCTACCTCTCTGTTTGAAAATATTGGTACTGGTAGTTTTAATTAACACCCCTCAAGCACATTTGGGGGTATTCTAAGGAATCACTTTGTCTGTATTCTTGTCTCACAGAATCTACCTCTCTTTTTCATAAATATTGAAACTTTTAGTTTAAGTTAACACATTTGGGGTGTGTATACAAGGGTTGTCCTAAACAGTCGTAGACAGGGGAAACACTTTAGTTTCTCTTTGATAAATAAAATTTCTTTTTTCTTAAAAAAAAAAAAAAGTAACATTTTATGATCATGTTTTTAAAATTTCATGATGATATTACATTTTATAAGAAAATTATGAAAAAAATAAAGGAAGTGTGTAAGTGTATATCAGTGGACTAAAGTAAGGAAGGATATGGAGATAACGAACAGTATTCAATCTCAACGTCCATTAAACAATATACAAAATGAGCAGAGCAAACACGGACCTACGAAACATCAGAGGTGGGATCAGGTGCCACGGAGGAGTGAGCATCCCCTGCCGACCGGTCACACCCACCGTGTGCTCGTTGTCATGATCAGGAAATAACAAAAAAAATCCATCGTCAATTCAGTGTATAAATAATGGACTAACAATTGGTATGAAAAATGTCAGTCAGCATTTGACTCAATGATAAATTGTATTTGCTGACAAGGTCATTGTATCGACCATAGAATTTACGAAATGATGACTTTAAACGAGACTGTTGATATTCTTGTTTCATCAACTTGCTTGTCAATAATTTACCTCGTTTAAGAAATTGTTCATACGTAGAGCATGCTCTTGCATATCGAATCAACTGAGATATATATACTCCGTATGCAGGTGATGAAGGTATATTGCTGCATAAGTAAGGGAAGTTGACGATAGAAAAGTTAAAGTCATCACATTTATCATATAGCTTGGTTGTTAGATTACTGTGAGGGTGTGGGTTATACACCCTGATGAACTTACAAAAATCAAAAGAAGAACTTTAAAATTTTAACAAAATTTAATAACAAAATTAAAGAACAAAGTAAACAGAAATTTTAACAAAGAATTTAACCAAAAAAAAATGTACAAAAATAAAATAAATTGAAAATGTCTTTGTTAATTGGTCCTGGTCCTCAGTCAGTCAGTGCGCATGTCCCTTGGTATGAATAGGTCCCGTTTGTCCTGGTCCTTCCGTAAGTGCGGAAATCCTTTAAGAATAGATTTTTACAGTTT